ATCCCCCCCCCCCCTAATTTTTTTTTTTTTTTTTTTTTTTTTTTTTTTGGTGCTGGCCGGTACAGGGCTTGAACCCTGGTCCTTGGTGTTGTTGGCACCATGCTCTAACCAACTGAGCTAACAAGCCAGCCCAAGTCCCCTAATTTTAAGTAGTTAATATTGGGCTAGGTTTTATCTTAGACTGTATTATAAATTATTGTGTCAGAACTAGAGAAGTGTGACATAATCAAACTATGTATATTACTACAAATTGCCTTCACAGTTAAACATTGCTTAGGCTAGTACAGTAACTTGCTTTACTGTCAAACTATACTCGTTGATCTAAGGGATCTCAGTGCACCCTCAAATTCAGTGTTCTGTTTTTTTAAAAATAAAAAAAGCTTCACTGAGATATAATTCATATACCATGCACTTATTAACCCATTTAAAATATACAATTCAGTGATTTTTGGTATATTACATTATTAATTTTCTTTTAGTTATAGTAAATTATGTTTTAAAAAGTTGCCATTTTAACGATTTTTAAGTTTACCGTTCAGTGGCATTAATCACATTCACCATGTTGTGCAGCCATCACCACTCTTGCCAAAACTTGTTCATTAACCCAAGCAGAAGCTCTGTAACCATTAAGCAATACTTCCCTATTCTCCCTTTCCTGTATCTCCTGGTAACCTCTATTCTATGAAAGGACTTCAGAAAGTTCATGGAAAAATAGAATTAAAAAATGTGACTCTTCCCATGAGCCTTTTGAAGTGCTCTTGTACTTTTTTATGTCCATGAATTTATTTATTCTAATTATCGAAATATTCTTTTGTTTCTGGCTTCTTTTTCTTAGCGTGTTTTCGAGGGTCATCCACAATTTGGCCCTTATCAGAATATGGCTAAATAATATTCCATAGTGTGTATCTACACATTTTTTTTCCCACTCATCTGTCGATGGACACTTAGTTTGTTTCCACCTTTTGGCTATTGTGAATAATGCTGCAGTGAACATTGGGATATAAGTATCTGGGTTACTGTTTTCCTTTGGGTATATATTAGCAGTGAAATTTCTGGATCATAGGGTAAACATCTATTTAGCTTTTCCAGTAATTGCCAAACTTTTCCATAGCGGTTACTCTATTTTATATTCCCACCAGCAATGTATGAAGTTTCCAGTTTTTCTGTATCCTCACCAATACTTGTGTTAATAAAAAGCATAGGAGGCCGTTGTTATAGTTAAGCTGCCCTAGGCCCCAACAGACTATATAAAAATCAAAATGGAGTCACTTATGTTTAGGTTCCACATCACCAAACTGGAACTTAGCTGTTATCTGACCTTCCCAGAGATCAGGAGAGAAAGGGAGAACAGCAGCCTAATTTCTAAAGCAGGCCAGTTTTAGTCAACATGATAATAAAGTTCCCTTTGTCTTTAATCCTTACAACAAAAAATAACCTGAAGTAACCTGGTGTTAAACAATCAGTTGTTTCTCTATTGTTTGTTTCCCTGTTCCTGCCTTACAAGGGAAATGACTTTGAAATGACCAGTTTGCTT